CACACACACACACACACACACACACACACACACACACACACACACACGCACACACGCTTAATGCTAAGTCAAAGAGTTTGTGTTGGTGTTTGGTTTTAAGGAATGCAAACTACACAAACTAATCTGGTGAAGAAAAAAAAAAAAACTCTTATTAATTTAACATTTGATGCAACTAAATCAAATAGAGGACTGCTTTATCTTTCATTATCATTCAGGTTACTTTTTTTTTTTTCTTGTGTCCCATTCAACTTAACGAACTTCCTCCAAAGGTTACGAGAACATAGACACCGAAATCATCCATGTTTCCTTACAGGATCACTGCTTCAGCACTTTGGCATTTGTTTAGAAGCAACTAGGGACTGTGGACTTCCTTCATCCAACACATCGATGTGTGGCACATTCACATGTGGGGTAAACAAAGTCTGTTTCACCTCAATTTACCGACCAAATCCCTGACCGAAGGATTATCTCCGGATTCCATTTGAACTTACTCTTTCTTTCAATGGGTTTTCAACGGGACCCAAAATACTATCAAAGCTCTAATTAATATAATGTCACTGTAGCCACCATTATTCAGAATGAAAGAGAGAAATACAAAGTTTTAAATTTCAGTCGCTTAAATGGTCACTGTGACAAATAACCTATCGACAAATAGATTTTTCATTACAAGCTGGAATTCACTGAAACCAAGAGCGGCCTGAAAGGTAAGGTAAGAATCATGCAAAACCACCGTTGAGAAGGAAATAACAACCATTAATATTAACTTAATTCTAGCTGATTCACACAGGTCTATTTGTTTAAGAGCTACTACATCGGGTTCCACTACTGGTCAACAGGGAGAAATTGGAAATCAATCTGATCATGTATGCTAAAGTGTAGCATATTTAAGTCAAAAATGTACCAGGGATAAATGGATGGTTTTATTGTCTCTGTTCTCATCAATGAATTGCCCAGGTGACCACAAAAAAAGGCACAATATTTGTCCAATTATTCTTAAGATACATAAAAGCTTTTTTACCCAGGTTGTAAAGTACACAGCCATCACACCTACAAACTGCTTTTATAAACGATGGTTAAACGTTAGCCGGCTAAAATAATCAATTCTTATCTAGCCACCTGAAATATATATAACAGCAGTTGGAAGATTTACTTGTTTTTCTTAAAGGCAACATGAGCAGAGAACCATGATTGGCTGTGAGCTGAACATGTGATTGCACCCGTGACAGGCTGGCATGAAGCCGTGGCTAGCTGCTCTACTGCAGCTGCCCACCAGTTCATTCAAAACTGGAACCTTCTGTATCTTTCCTTAAGCAAGTGTATAGACTTTCTACTTCTGAAGTACATTTTTTACATTTCAGTGTGTAAAGAATTTTACATTTTACTAACATGAATAGTTTGATAAATAATAGTATCCCAAACTAATTTTGGATTGGTTCTTTTCTTTGTAAAGCTGCATTAACTTGTTGGCCACCTGTGGGTGGCAGAAACAAGCAGCTACAATATTATTTACATATTTTTCACCTTATAGCGTTGTTATGATATTGTGTGTGCAAACAGTTGTCTCTTTACACATCCAGCAGACATGTAATCCACCGTAATCTAATACATTTTCACTAGTCCATTTTCGCTCTTCTTTGGTCTCCATCAACTCCTGAAAGAAATATCTGGCTCTTTAAATGTCGAATGTTCAACTTTCTAGCGTCTAGCTTTGCCCGTCTGCTGTTGCTGGGCAGGTAGTGTACAAAAACAATAGTGTATTAAAGCGTTTTTTGCCGAATGCTCCAGATACATTTAAAGCAATTCAGAGAAAGGCAGATTCAAATAATGTAACGGTACCTGAAAGACACGATGAAGTGACCAATGACAGGGCGAGGAGGGTTGTGTGGGAGTGTCTCACCTGCTGGTCATGGGTACAGGAGCAGGTGAAATGAGTGGGCGGGGCAGGCGTGTTGCCGAGCAGGTAGGGACCGCCCTTAGCCATGACCGCAGCATTGCTCGTCTGATGGACACACACACACATGCACAAACACAAACAGACAGACACATGGCCCCATAGACAGACAGGTGAATGAGATGAAATGGAGTGCTTCAATCTGGTTAATGAATGACATCACAAAAGTGGCCATTTTCCTGTAACAGCTGCTCCATCGGCATACTTCTCAATATTAACCAAACTTGAGTGCTAAAGGTTCCTACCAGTTATGTTCCACATACAATATAATCAAGTATTTGGAATTGTGAGAGTAGGCCTTCTGTATCTTGATACATTATCTGGATAATGACATCGCCATGGGCCTTTGCATTTACAACTGCAGCCTGTTGCACAAGCTGAAAGTAGGATTGAGTGTCAACATCATAGACTGTTTTTAAGAAGTGGACGTAGTCATGGTGACGTCATTGGTTTGTGGACTGATGTTTTGAAGCCTCATGTTCGCCATCTTCGAATAGGGCCGTTGCCATGTTTGGAATACGGAGGAGTGACGTAGAGACACCGTATGTTCTCTGGTAGTGGCAGAGACCTGTCAATCACAGTAAGCCCCACCCTAAAGCATCCCCTGCTTTATGGTCTGTTTGACTCTAAATGGACCATAATTTACTAAATGAACATCATGCTGTATTGAAGAAGACTTGAAACTAGAGATTGAGACCATAAACTCATGTTTACAATGTTTACTGAGGTAATAAATCAAGAGAGAAGTAGAGTCATTTTCTCATAGACTTCTATACAACCAGAGGAGTCGCCCCCTGGTGGACAGTAGAGAGAATGCAGTTTTAAGACACTTCCTCATTGGCTTCACTCTGCAGAACCTGAGGTTGCCGCCTGGTCAACACTCACTGCTGAGTTGTACCTAGGTGTTACAAAATTCACAATCAAAACACTGTAGCAGCCAAGTGCAACATTTGGGAAATATTGAAGAAAACTAAATATGTTTTAAGGCTTTAAATCGAATATTTTATTACCAAGACTAGGTAAACCTAGTGTATGGCTGGAGCGTCCATGGTCAATTTTCTTAATTGTGGCCAGATTGTTACAGGGATAGTCAGTGGTGTCTATCATGTGAATTCCTGGATATTAAATGTTCATCATCACTTTTCTGGAGTGGCCCCAGTAATATTTGTTCTTAAAGTGTAGAAAACCACATGACATGGTTCATCTATGTTCGAGTCAAACCACAGTTTGATCACCAAAATCTAGTCAGTTCATCCTTGAGTCCAGGTGGACGCCTGTGCCAAATTTAAAGAAATTCCGTCTCGGCATTCCTGAGATATTGTGTTCATGACAATGCACCGGATGGACGGACGGACAACCCGAAAACATAATGCCTTTGGCCACAGCTATCGCAATGACAAAGCCAAGCACGCACACTTATTACTATCAAAAAAAGATAGATGTAATCATTACCAAAATTCCCAATATGTTTTTATTTAATGAAATATTCTGCTTTAATCCACATTTGTTGGCGTTAAGGCATTTTGACTGCGGTCTAAAACTGGTCGCCCTCCCCCACACACACAGAGAGGCTCACACCTGTATTAACAGACATTCAAAGCTTTATTCATAAACCCAATAGAAGCTTCGAATGTAAAAAAAAAAAAAAAAAAAAAAAAGACATTCAGTACAGCCATAGTGCCTAAGTCTGAGTCACACTGTTTGTTTTGGATTTAGGGAGCCAGGGCTGTGTATGAATACAACCGTGAGGAGATATTCACTGATTTTGACAAGAAGTGTATTGGATTAGAATCACAGACTCCACCTTCAAATAGGCCTATGTCTTATTATCATTCAAACTTAAAAACAAAGATTTTAATTACGGCTAATAAAAGATTCCGACAACATGTTTACTGCTGGACCCTTGCGTTGCACATCGTTGTGGCCGCACATTTGCCAAGGGAGGGGTCAGCTGTTACTTTTTGAACATGCGTTATGTGACTTTGATTTCAAATTGTTTTGAAGAACGTGGTCACACGTGTTCTACTCTATCCAGACAAGATATTCAGATAGAGATTTAAAAAACAGCTTTAAAACGTGGTCTCACTGTCTCTGTTCGAAGTTAGATTACTTCCCATTCAATTTCCCAAGGAGTGGTATAAAATATACTGAAGTGCTCTTTCTTCAAACAGCAACTTTCCTCAGCTTGACCCAGACAATAATTTCTTTGTATCATAGTGGAAAAAAAAAGATATTTCAGTTTTCTGAAATGCCCTGCTGCTTATTTCCTTGAATACTAATAAGTGATATTTTTGTCATCTTCCAGCAGCTAATAGCATTTGATCAGTGGTTGTCTGTATTACAGTACCCTGCTGCTGCAATGACCCAATTTCCCCACAGGGATCATTAAAGTTTCCTCCATCAATTCTCCAGCAGCAGCGTCAATCGCGTCTGGTTTACCTTGGCAGCGATGGCAGCTGCGGTGATGTGGGAGGAGCCATGCTGGTGATGGTGGTGGTGGTGGTGGTTGTGCACATGTGGACCCCGCCTCCTGTCCTCCTCCTCGTCGTCCTCGTCCTCTTCATCCTCGCACTGGGTGCCGCGCTCCATGGTGTGCATGTTGATGTGCGTGTCGATGTGCGTGTTGGCCAGCAGAGGGGAAGGGGAGGGCAGCTGCTCCAGGGCGGCGTGAGTGGACTTCACCATGACAGTGGCCTCGCGCAGCAGGTCAATGGCGTGGGGCAGAGCGGGCAGGATGAACTGAAAGCACTCCTGGAGAAAACAACATGACGAGCAAGTTAAACTCCACTTTCAAACACTGGATTGATTGTAGTAGCCCCGCACTTTCTTACTTAAAACGTTACTGTGTTTATTGATATATTGGTAACATTTGATGCCGGACGGTTTTTAGAGCTTTCTCACTGAAAACAGCAGCCAGCTTTAAACAAAAAAGTACAGTTAATGTTGCAAAAACCCTCTCAAATGGAGCTATCCACTATATTTTGTCAGGAAAGGGCTACTGTATAGCTATGATGACATATGAAATCACTGCCACACAGTGGTTCAATTACACTTTTTTTCATTCTAATAACTTTTGGGTCACGAAAATTGGGGTATTACAGTATGTACAAATATATAGAACAGGAGAACAAGACATTGAACTTTTGCCGTGGTCATTTGACAAAGTCAAAAGAAAATGTTGGTTGTTGTTAGTTGTTATGATGACAATGCCAATGGGGCCTTAACGAGTCTTGCTGCGCCGCTAAGCCGGAAGCGGAGGTAGTTACAGAGCCCAATCAATGGCTGTAAAATCCATTTCACACTTTCTTTATTACTTACGTATTTATAGAGAGAACTGCCTGCATGGCGGGACTACACACACACTCATACACACACGCACACACACAGATGCCAATGCTTGAGTGAGTCTGACTTGCTGCAAGTCGGTTTGTGTGGAAGTTAACCCGCTATGAAATGGCTGTCGCTCTGACCACCCTGCAAAACGTTGATCGAAATGGGAATGTCCGTTCTACTTCTATTCTATGTCTATGTTTTGCCCCAAGTCCCAAGTAAATCTCAAGTCAAGTCCTAAACTTAGAGTTTGAAGTCTTTCACTAGTCGGTATGTGTTCTTTACCAATGTCATTTTCAAATGACATACACTTGACAAATTACATTATATTTCAAAGTTAATGTAATAGTAAAAATAGAACAATTTTTTATGCACCTGTTTCAAGTCTAGTCAAAACGCATCATGATCAGCTACAGATTGTCATAATAGCTAGCAGGCATTACATGAGTAAGCATGTATAGGGTTCTAGCAGAGTTCAGATAAGGACAGAATCCCACCTGAGAGCCCTTCTTGCTCCCTGGCAGGTTGATGATCAGGGTCTTACCACGGATACCACACACTGGCCTGGAGAGACAATGCAAGTAGGAAGCAGATTAGAGCAGGAGAGGATATCGCGCACACTAATCTAGTTAGAATTGAACAGATTAGCAGATTTAGCGCCGCACATCCCGGTGCAGACAGCATGTCTTAACTGACTGACGGTGAACAGCAGTGGTGAAAAAGTCTTCACCTGGAAAGCATGCCTAGCGGTGTAACGTTGAGTGATCCCATCAGCATGGCGAGAGCCATACCTGGAGCCTCTCGCTCTATCACGTCTCTGGTGGCCTGCAACAGAAAACACCCGGTCTCTAGTTAAGACATCAAAATCACTGGTTTGGTTAGAAGACAAAATACATTTTTGAAGCAGTTTGTTCAGTGAATTTTCAGACAGGGCTCACTAGTTTAGTCTCTAATTGTCCTGATTTTAATCAGAGGGCCGTGGTTACGCTCGTCTCTTTAGTGCTTTTGTCATCCCATCGTTCCAGGACGCATCAACTGTCAAGTCTGTACGCTACGAGATCAGACCTCGCTCGCCTTGGGTTCCGATCAGCTGGACCACATGCCGAGGTGGCCTGGCCCGCATCGAGTTGGGATCTGAACGTGGTGTGATGTGGACAGCATGTGGACACAATCGGGACAATTCATCAAACATAGGTCACCATCATCTCCAGATCAGAACCAGTGCTGGTTTTTCCTGATTTTGCTGCTTCAAAATAACGGGGGACTTTTATTGTGAAGAATTTATGGGAAAGTGGGTTTAGCACTGAATTAACGGAGCTTCGCTAGTGGCTATTTTTCAATTTGAAAACAAACCTTTACCAATACTGCAGGGAGGAAGAGTGATCAGCAAAAATAACGGGGGACCTTTATTGTGAAGAATTTATAGGACATGAAATATTTATCCAGCATTTTACAGCCGCTCCTTTGACCACGGAATTTTTCCAGTCACTATCTGATCAGGCTGATCGCATTGAAGTGTCAAGAGTGGACACACATAGGCAGACACGGCTGACATCCGATCTAGCGCCCCATCACAAATACAAGTGTAACCACAGCCATGTTTAGAGTTTTATTTTATTAGTATTTTCACTTTCAAGCGTTGCAGTCGGTGGCCCTGTGCGTTTGTACCTCAGGTGTAACATCTCGTGGTGCAAATCCGGTTCCTCCTGTAGTGAGAATGAGATTCAGCTGCTGTTCATCGCACCACTCCAGAAGAGATTCCTGTGCACATGTAAACACACACGGTTCACAACTACACCATGCATCCTCTTGACCTGGAATGCTATGGGCCCAGCGGACAGCTGCAGTGGATAAAGACACTTTCATTCAGGATCATATCCTCACTGCATTCAGTGGCTAGAACAGCATTAAAGTGAGGGATCACAGGTGGCTAGATGTTGGATGATAGACGGGTGGTCACTGCAACCGCTAATAAGACTGAGTCAAAAGGAAAAAGATTCAGGGAGTATGCGATGAAGAATGTGCCACGGTTTTCATTCGGTGTTGTATCTCGAGTGCGTCTTCTTCTATGACAGATTCTAACTTTTTTGAGTGCCAGTGGGAAAGTGTGCAAAGTCCAGTCTTCACCTCACATTGCTTTGTGTCTCGTAACCAGTGATGGGATTGCTAGTGAGCTCGAAGCGATGACACGTACCTTGATTTCATCAATCTCATCTGGAACTATCTTGTAGGCCGCTATGACTCCTCCTAGCCTGCAGGAGGGGACAAAGACGGAGTGAGGGTAACGTCCGTGCATGTGAATGTGTGCACTTTATGTGTGTGCAGACCACAGACTACGGGGTCAGATCAGTCTTAGTATTAATGGATGCACACAAAGGAATTCACAAATGTATTTTTTGATGTACATTTAAATTACTCTCTCCACAAAAATAGATTTCAATGCAGAAAAAAAGTTATCAGTCATATCATACAAAAAATAGGGCTCACAAATGTGTTTCTGATGCATTGATATCTTAAATAAATGTAATAGAAAACATATGTTTTGAAATATATTTGCAATTTTCATCCAAAACATGTGGATGTTGTTACATTCATATACAGATTGTTGTACCTGCATTTATAAACTCCTCGTCTTGTGTGACCTTTACTGCATTTGTGTGTGTGGGTTTCATTTTTGAGACTCCCCTGCCTCGGCTCCATTCACAAATGCCATTTTTCCAATGAGATTTGAAAGTATGATTTTATGTAATCACACAAAGCGTTACACTGTGCAGTCTTCGACTACGAACAGGAGGATTGACATCAAAGTGACTACATGCCGCTGCAAGGAGGTCAAAGGTCAACCTCGACATGTGTCTGGTGGTGGCGCTCCATGGCTGCAGTCGGATTACGTCCTGTATCTTTTCCTAACCACTTTATCTTGACCTCAAGATAAGAGAGGAAGCACTGAGGCACCTTTCCTCAGCATTGAATGAATCCGGCCAGCTCTCATCATGGCTGCCGCTTCCATACTTCCTAGAAACCCCTTTTGGTCATTTCACTCGGTTAGGACACTTCCTCAAAAAATAAAGACCATTCGATCGCATCCCACGTGTAAGTTTGAATAACTGTCTTGGCGAGAATGATTAAATATGTTTGAGTCATGAATGCTTGCTATGTTAGTGATGTGGCATTTAACACCAACGCAAGCTAGTTACCCATTTATTTACTATGGTTTGCTAGCAACTTACTTTATTGCAAATATTTAAACAGGTAAGCTATTTGCAAGTGAGTTAACTGTAAGGTTATGTTTAAAATTACTCGGATCATATTATGGCTAGCTAGCTAGCTAATAATCCTAGGTTGTCTATTAGTGATATATAGCTAACTTGTTAGCAAACGCTAGTGTTGAATGCCACTACCTCAGGGGTAGGCAACCTTTACTATCCAAAGAGCCATTTTGCCCTATTTTCCACCAAATAAGATTTGTCTGGAGCCGCAAAAGCTATTTGATATCACAGTTTATAAAGTTTTATAGTTATATTATACAGTTGTGTGAAAAAGTGTTTGCCCCCTTCCTGATTTCTTATTTTTTTGCATGTTTGTCACACTTAAATGTTTCAGATCATCAAACAAATTTAAATATTAGACAAAGATAACACGAGTAAACACAAAATGCAGTTTTTAAATGAAGGTTTTTATTATTAAGGGGGAAAAAAATCCAAACCTACATGGCCCTGTGTGAAAAAGTGATTGCCCCCCCTGTTAAAACATTAATTAACTGTGGTTTATCACATCTTTGGAAAGCTGAGTTCAATTTCTCTAGCCACACCCAGGCCTGATTACTGCCACACCTGTTCTCAATCAGGAAATCACTTAAATAAGACCTGCCTGACAAAGTGAGGTAGACCAAAAGATCCTCAAAAGCTAGACATCATGCTGCGATCCAAAGAAATTCAGGAACAAATGAGAAACAAAGTAATTGAGATCTATCAGTCTGGAAAAGGTTACAAAGCCATTTCTAAAGCTTTGGGACTCCAGCGAACCACAGTGAGAGCCATTATCCACAAATGGCGAAAACATGGAACAGTGGTGAACCTTCCCAGGAGTGGCCGGCCGACCAAAATTACCCCAAGAGCGCAGCGACGACTCATCCAAGAGGTCACAAAAGACCCCAGAACAACATCCAAAGAACTGCAGGCCTCACTTGCCTCAATTAAGGTCAGTGTTCATGACTCCACCATAAGAAAGAGACTGGGCAAAAATGGCCTGCATGGCAGAGTTCCAAGACGAAAACCACTGCTGAGCAAAAAGAACATAAAGGCTCGTCTCAGTTTTGCCAGAAAACATCTTGATGATCCCCAAGACTTTTGGGAAAATACTCTGTGGACTGACGAGACAAAAGTTGAACTTTTTGGAAGGTGTATGTCCTATTACATCCGGCGTAAAAGTAACACGGCATTTCAGAAAAGGAACATCATACCAACAGTAAAATATGGTGGTGGTAGTGTGATGGTCTGGGGCTGTTTTGCTGCTTCAGGACCTGGAAGACTTGCTGTGGTAAATGGAACCATGAATTCTGCTGTCTACCAAAAAATCCTGAAGGAGAATGTCCGGCCATCTGTTCGTGACCTCAAGCTGAAGCGCACTTGGGTTCTGCAGCAGGACAATGATCCAAAACACACCAGCAAGTCCACCTCTGAATGGCTTAAGAAAAACAAAATGAAGACTTTGGAGTGGCCTAGTCAAAGTCCCGACCTGAATCCGATTGAGATGCTGTGGCATGACCTTAAAAAGGCGAATTCTGCAAAGATGAGTGGGCCAAAATTCCTCTACAGCGCTGTAAAAGATTCATTGCCAGTTATCGCAAACTCTTGATTGCAGTTGTTGCTGCTAAGACTGGCCCAACCAGTTATTAGGTTTAGGGGGCAATCACTTTTTCACACAGGGCCATGTAGGTTTGGATTTTTTTCCCCCCTTAATAATAAAACCCTTCATTTAAAAACTGCATTTTGTGTTTACTTGTGTTATCTTTGTCTAATATTTAAATTTGTTTGATGATGTGAAACATTTAAGTGTGACAAACATGCAAAAAAATAAGAAATCAGGAAGGGGGCAAACACTTTTTCACACAACTGTATATACAAAAACTATAGTTTGCTGTATTTATGAAATTATAGAAGAAGAATAAAGACAATTCTTGACATTGTATTGCTATTTTACCCATTATAACAATATCAAACAATACACCGCCATGTGTAGGCCTACATTGAGGTCAATTAAACACAACTGTGCAGGTCTATTTGGGTCCTCCCCATGTTTGTGGAAGATATATTCAATAAAAAGTAACCTACTTTGAAATAAATATAACATATAGCTGCAGCCTAATGTCTTAAAAAGAGTAAATGTAAAAAATAGGCCAGTTTGTATCTAAGTAAGACTAAAGTCCATTTCAGTGCGCTGTCAACATCTTGTTTTTTTCCTCAGACACTTACAGCCATCAACCTTCGTGCCTGAACATAAACGCACAACAATCAGTTCAGGATCTAAAATGAATATTTCTTTCCAAGATAAATTCTCACCCGTTTAATGCGATTTTTGTTTCTGAACATCGCTGCAGAGTTTCTCTATATCAGGGCTGTAAGATGTGACTTTGAGCTTCACACAGGACTGCAGGCTGTCATCTGTGAGGCGGGAGCGATATTTAGATTTTATGTAGTTCATGCTTGACTAAAACCTACTCGCATAAGTACTTGATCCAAAGATGGACAGGACTCCAAATGTATACTTCTTCATGCAAGTGTCGGGAATGGCATTCCATGTTTCAAACACAAGTTTGTCGGGTTTGGGGAGGTTTTCAATATCGCTCCATTTGTGCTCTCTAGCGAGGATGGCTTTCTGACGGGCGACATCTTCAAGATCAGCATCGTTGGCAGTGAATAGTAAATTGATACGGCCACGCAGAATTAAACTCTCTATTTTCCTCCGTGACTTTTCTTTTTTTGGATTTATCCATTGATAGTTTACCGAGGGTCTGCAAATCATGATTAGCCACCTGCAGGGAAAGGCTCTTGACAGCAACGTAATAGGATGTGACGCACATACAGTAGGATGCTGACAAAATATTAAGATCTTTTTTAATTTCATCACACAGTATCACGTCAAACTCCAAGATAAGAGGTGTTCCCTTTGAAAGATTGTCCACTGTGCAAAACATTTAATAAAAATTATTTCCATGTTATTTTTTGTCAAGGGTGCCGCAACCGAGGGGCTCTTCAGCCCCTCGGTTTGACAAAAAGAGTTGGGGAACATCTGCACTGAAACGGGGGGAGACGTCCGATTGGCTACGGATACTTCCCTGTAGAAAAAATGGCATTTGTGAATGGAGCCGAGGCTGGGGAGTGTAAAAAAAACCAGACCCACAGACGCATGTGGTGAAGCTCACTCATAACAAGCAGGTTATAACTGTGGGTTCAACTGTCTGTATATTAACAGAACAACATCCAAACATGTATTTGATGAAAATTGCAAATCCTTTTAAATACATAAATTTGGGGATTTCTATTACATTTATTCAAATTCAGGTTAATGCGTGTGTGCATCAGAAATATATTTGTGAATCTTGTTTTTTTATTTATATGTATATTTTTTTTTTACATTTCTGTACAAAGATAACTTAAATCACTTTAAAATAAATCAGGAAATATACATCAGTGAATCCTTCAGTGTGCATTCATTAGTATTGAGACTGATCTGACTCCATAACAGACGTGTGTGGACTCACAGTGAGGGATCATGGACCAGGTCCTTCAGGTTGACTCCACTCCTGTCCTCAGCCAAGTTCTTGAAACAGCTGTCACTGACTGAAGAAGAGAGAAGTTCAGGTTACACGACAGATAGATGTGATGCAAAATAAAACTGGTCACTGATACGCTGACTGGTGGAACCTCGGTTGATACTAATGAGACATTTCATTTTGCACAGTGGACAATCTTTCATCCATGTACATTTAAATAATGTTATCACCCAGAATTGTAATTGCGGTTGTTTGCAGCTCAGTGTCTCATTCATGTTTCTCAAATGCAATTTTGTCAGTTTTCCGAGGGAAACTGGAGAGTACCACATTCAAAATGAAAACGGCATTTAAACAATATAGTTACACACACACATACAGGATAGTAGTCCTTTACGGTCTCTGAACATTGGATTATATATATTTTTTATTATACCTATTATGAATTGTTAAAGTAAAAACCTGAGATTGTCCAAAATCCACTTCAAAGAAAGTGTGTAGACTAACACGGTGAATTATAAAGTCTACCCAGTGAGTCTTACAATGCGAGCAGTCAAACTTCAGACTTTGTTATGTTTGGACTGGTTCTGGCAGTTTCTCCCCATTTCCAGTCGTTATGTTAAGCTACGCTAACCAGCTGCTGGCTGAAGCGTTGAATTTGACAGATAGATATGAGAGTGGCATCAGTTCTCTCATCCAACCCATTGCAGGAAAGGGAATGGTATGCTCCGAAACTTTCAAACTATTTCTGTTTTTTTTTCCTATTTAAATCTAAATTAAAAACTACATTTTCAAAAGTTAGCCTACATTTTGCTTAACATAAACATAAGTGACTTCTCACCAGAAAACCCAACCTGTTGAAAAGCTATTACACTTTATTACATTTGAAGACTTTTAACACATTTCCATTACCCTCTGACACAGAGAAATGTAGCTTGTTGTGAAACCTTGGTACCCTTGGTTCAAGGGCAAAACTACAGTATTTAGAGAGCATCCAGGCTATTAACTCTGGTATTCAGGCGAAAGGGAGTGTGTTCTCAAGAGTGACCAGGTGAAACTACTACGGCTAAAGTATAGTTTGAAATGTTTATTGTTTTGTAGTTTTACACCTCCGTTTCAAATAAGAACAACAGTACCACAGAATGTTACTCTAAATATTCTCCAAGAATGTAGGATAGTTGATTTCCAAAGGACATTAAAAAGGTAAGATTGACTCTGGATGAACAGCAACCTGAACACAAACATGCATTCTATATTGACACATTGTTAAAAGTAAAGTCAACGTGATCACTGGGCAGTGAGCGTGACTAGTGGAGTTCAGATAAACCTTGACGACTTCTCTAATTTCTCTTGACTTTAACCCCTTATAGTCATGTTTAACACCACGGGAAGAAGAAAAAAACATTTGCATCCCCATCTTACCAATGAATTGTTCTGAAATAAACAGAAACTGCATCAATATACAGTTGTAATCGATTTGCCTGTGGATTAAACCATGAGACTCCCTGACTTCCACCATACAGTATATGATATTATTAGTACTCTGGCTTTATTAATCTGTGCTTTATTGTATTGTACTAACTCCATTGATGAGCCTATATAGTGAGATCCTAACTGTGGCATTGGCACAGTGCGCCGATTTGATAGAGTTTTGAAGTCTTTGGAGGAATAAGATGTATCAGGGATAAATACAAAAAAACGTGTTAGTAGGATTCACCAACTGTTGGTTTGGGTCTTTAGAAGCATAGTTCCCTATTGGACAATTCCCTCTTTGGTAAAGCCATGGCCTAGTGTATTGGAAGTATTTCCAATAGTATCTTAGCTACATTTAGCACACCACAAACAGTGTGCTCTTTCTGCCGAGTAAACACAAGAAGCTAAATTACATTTCTTTGGTTTCCCTTATGCTGACTTAACAATCAAAGACTCTGGCTAGTAGAAGCCACTGTTGTTATGTGTTCATAGTCAACATTATTTCATATATTCCAACACAGTATGCTCCACATATGTGACCTTAAACATGCCTTGCGTCACATTTTACCAACCGCATATTTGACCCTAAACATGACCTAAACTCCTCAGTTAAAACCGTGTCGTGTAAAAACCTGATAAACACCCCCCCCCCCAAATGGGCTAGGAACGTGTGTTAACATGTGACAGGAGGTTGTGGTTGTCGACTGTACGGACAGCAGAGGTTAGCTGCCGTTAGCCGAGATGCTCGCTCATCAAAACCACAGACTTCCCAGCCAGCTGCTGGGGCGCATCCTCATAGTTCTCACGTCTCCCCCCGCCTTGGCGAGGAGGCAGCGGGGCTACTGGTGACTGTCACACGGCTGTATACTGGTCCCAGTCCTCCTCTGCACGACTCAAGACCAACATCAGATGAGCTAATTAGGGAAGCTGCTAAACAACCTGCACAACGGGGGGAAAATCGCTTTGGCAGTCGGCCTTGCCTGCTAATAATATTTTAATAGCTACCAAACGCACGATTTATGATTCATAAATGTACATTTTTAAGTACGATAAAAAAAAAGCTGACTTTAAGTCCAAATTAAACGGCTGTCAAAGGAACCATACAATAAATATTAATGAATAGCGGCCAACACATCGGATCTGTAAAGGGACATGAATAATGCAGTTGATAGCCTCGGTATCGCTATTGCTAGAAGAAAAATATAACGTTCCCTTGCGTCAAGGTGGCAACATACAGCCACAGCCAGAACGGAAGAATGGTGTTTTTTCTTCCACAATAAAAGCGCCAATTTTAGTTAAAAACTCATTGCAGCACTAGCTCGCCAAAGGAATTTTCGCCTCTAATTTTGAAAGTCCTGGCAAGTCGTCCTTTTTCCCACTGTCTCACTTGACGCCGATTAAAATATCACTACAATGTCGTGCAGCTATCATAATCATAGCTATAATGACAGCCAGTCTGCCTACGTACACATATACTTAACATTTTACCACAGAAATGCAAATGATGTCGTTACAAGGCAAACTCCACATCTGCCCGACCTGTCAAATAGGGAAGGCAGCTAACGTTAGAGCAATGACAGCCAACGAAACCGGTCAGCTTAGCATACTGGATAACGACAGCTAGGTCGGCAGCGGAGACAGCTCGTATCGTGACACCGACGTGCACAGGCAACCGAAGGCAAAACGCCACGGAGGTGCACTACGGAGAAGCGTCTTGTCGCATTTGACCAAACAGGCTCCTTACCCGTCAGAATCCCCACTCGGGTCTGATGGTCGTGGTTGGTGAGCACCATCCCGTCCGCCGCCATGTTTACAACCTCTGTCTGCACTGTGCCGGCACATAGGGGAGAGCGGGGTAAGAATTACCTTGCACGGCAGCTGGATTCTCGCGATGTCACGGCAAGATCACGCGAGAATCGTAGGATCACACACATATATATATATATATATATATATATATACACACATATATATATATATATTTATATA